CGCCCTGCCAATCCGCCGGGCCGCGCCGCGCCGTTGGCCGCCGGGCGGGCGGGGGGCGGGGCGCTCCCCCCGCCCGCGCGGTGCCGCCCTGTGACCAACTCCCGTGTGTGAGTCACGGCAGCGCCGTCAATGCCGTGTGCGGGCGGGCGGCGCTGCCTGGGCTGCCCCGGCCCCCCTCCCCCGGCACAGGGCTGGCGGGCCGCACTTGTCACCGTGTCACATCCTCCCCGCCGCCTGCCGACCCGGCTCACCCTCCCCAGCTCGGCCGCCGCCCGGGGCCGCCGCGGCGGCATGGGATAGAGCCGGGCACAGCCGCCCCCGCCGCTCGTTTCACACTGACCTCCCCGCGGTTTAAATCCCTCCCCCGCGTGTCCCCCCCGCCGCCTCCTCGCCTCCCCCGCGCCCCCTGTCAGCGCCGAGCCCCCGCTCCCCCGGGCGCCTCCCTCGCCGGTCCTCGCCGCGGAGCCCCCGGAGCGGGTGAGTGCCGGGCACGGCCCTCCCGGGCTGGCCGAGGGGCTGAGGGGGCCGGGGGCGCGGGGGGCGCGGGCCGGGGCAGCCCCGGGCTCTGCGGGGCGGCCACCGACAACTGTTCCAAAGTTGGGGCATTCCCCTCCCGGCGCAGCCTGGCGCTGCCCGCTCGGACTGCAAAAGAAGGGGGGAAAAAAAAATACAGGTATAACCCCCCTGTTCGTCGTTGCCAACTTCTAGTGCGTGTCGTGCTGCCGGCGAATGTAATTTCGATTTTATTTTGGTGATTTCCCCCGCCCTGGCTGAGGCTGTGGTGATGGTTGACGTGAGGGTATCCCGAGCGCCGCCCGGGTCCAACAGCCCCTCCGTGGCTCCGGCCACTGGAAAAGCGGGGAAACCCACCTTTTGTACTTCCAGGTGCTCCATCCTCCTCCCCGCCCTGTCAGTCCTGGCTGTTTCGCTGTCACCTGGGCTTCACTTGCCGTGGCAGGAACATGCGTGTTTGTAAGAGGGAAGCCGTGGTCCGCAGCGGGGAGTTCTGGTGTCTTGGCTTGGTATTGGGAGCGCTCGATGTGAAATGGTTATGTCTCTGTTTCACTGCTATTGATTTGTCTTTTTTTTTTTCCCCCTCAATGTATTTTTAGAACACGAATGTGGTGTATGTTGTCGTGTGCTGTACGTACAGAGCAGCTAAAATAAAGCAGAGGCATGGAAAACCCCAGCAAATACAGCAGTGCTTCCATGCGCAGGGCATCCAAAGCCTCAGTACTCTGCCAGGTTTATTTATTAATATTAATTGCTCGATCTTTGTAATTTATATCATATGGAAACTAACTGCTGAATTGAAGGTTTACCAAACCTCACGGGGCTCCAAAATCATCTATCTCAGGCATCTGAAAAACAAATCTACTGAATTTTTGTTAAGAGGAAAGGCCAGCATTATTCTGGGAATCCTCCACATGAAGTTTCTGTTTCTGAAGGCAAGCACTCTTGTAAATAAGTCCTAGTAAAGAATGCCTTTACTCAGTGAGCACTCAAGTGTATGCAGGTCAGTGAATTTCTAGAGAAAATCAAATCTTTACTACATCTTGTCTTGCTTTTATCTATAAATAGAGGGAGGGAAACAAAAATAAATCAGCTGTGAGATTGACATGTAATAGAAAATCAGTCCTTTTCCCAAGGGGTGACTTGCCCAACATAACCTGAAAACTTCCTAAATTTTGCCTTTATGGGGAGGGGTCCTTCAGCTGCAGTCTGTTGCATCAGTGTGAAGTGGGCCTGTCTCTCCTCTGCAACTGGCTTGGCACCAGCCTAACTTCATTAACAGAGCAGATTTGCATTAATGCCAGGAGCAATCCAGACACTCACGTTTTGAGGAAGGCCCCTGTAGTAGTGACGTGACAAGTCGTGATTCCTCCCCGGGCCAGCCCCAGTGACAGCGCCCTTACTCACTCGGAGTGTTCCCTGCCATGCTGCTTGGCTGGGTGAGGTGGAGTGGCCCTTGTTTTTCTCATAGCTGTTTTATTCCCTTTCCTTGAAATGACAACGTGTTGGATAACTATTTTTTCCTTGGGCCGCGAAGAAAACTTCTGAGGATTTAAATGTGAATCTGCTTTGTTAAGTGACCGTACCAAAACCCCCCCTGTTTAAGACTTCTGAGCTGCCAAGTGAAAGGGGCAGGTAAGTTTTCTGTGTGTTTAGCTTTGCCTTGTTTCTACAAAAATTAGGAAAAAGATTGTTGAAAAATTAATTATCTTGTCCTGAAATTCCTCTGCGCCTGTGGGATTCCACACCTATATGCGGTGTTCAAGTTGGAGTTGTTTTCCTAATTCCCTTGTGTCTCTAGAACCACCCCTACCCCCCAAACATTCACATTGCATTGTTAAGGTGTTTGCTGTTGAAATCGCTGGCAGGAGGATCAGGCCCTCGGCTGGTTTTCTTTAAAGCAGTTGATGATGACTTGGATGTGCTGTTGTAGAGAGATAATATTATCTGGTGTGTCCATAGCTCAGATCCACTGTCCTACCACAGTGTCAGAAGAAAGCTCTGTGCTAAGCAGCCTGTAAAGAAAATGTCTAACAAAGCAGAATTGTCTTCTGCCTTTCTGTACTTATTTATAAATCTCTTGAAAGTTTGTTTGATACTCTTTCAAAACAAGACAAGATCCCTGCATGTTTGTTTCATGTTTTCACTTCCTCGTATGACTGTGTTCATTGCTAAGCCTTTATGTCACTGATTGAGATGTTATTGTAATTAACATTAATTATGCAAACTAGATTGTTTTTAGAGGCTCTCCAGCTCTGTATTGATACTGTCAACTTGTTTGTTTGTTGAACAAAAATCCACACATTTCACCATTCTCGAAGGAAATAGATTAACGGATTCCATGTCAATATACGCATGGGAAACTATAACAAAATCAAGTTATATTAGCTCAAATGGCACAATGAGTCTTGATGGATGTGGTGAACCGAGCATGGCTGGATATGAAATATCAAGGCAGGGCAAACAGGGGGAGCAGGAAAGGGGACTCTAGGTACAGTCATTCGGGGAGGGTGTTTACACTGCAAAGTTCCATTACATCTTTTCCAGAGAGACAATACTAGGATCAGTTGGGCCAAATTCTGCCATCCCTAATTGAATTAAACTCTCCCTAAAATATACTGGAACTGCCGACTTGATTTTTTTTTGAGAAATGGAGAAAAATAGCAGAGCTTAATTCATTAATTATTTAGGATGTTTTTGATTTTAGACTTGGAGAAGATAGTTTCCTTAAATTTGGTTTAGAAGGTGTTCCAGGGTTGTCTTTTTAAAATAACAGCTAAATAAAAATATCTTTGAAATATACATCCCTGTAGCAATGGTAACATTTTGTAATTTTTTTACAATGCTGATTGTAATGACATCCACAGAACTCTCCATGTCTGATTCTGAATCACCCTCTTGAAACCCTTCTGAGCTGAGAAGGATTTTAGAATTTCTCCCTAGAAGTCAAATTTGTTGCAATGTTTGCATGTTGTATTCTTGTGTACTCTTAGGAAGAAAAATAATAGAGGTGGGGAGAGTTTAAATGGGAATTGGTTGTCCTGATATCCCGTCTGAAAATATATGCAGACTGGCAGATTATTCCCTGTCTTAAAAATCAAGTCTCTCTAATTTCCCATTTAAATAAGCAAAATTTGGTTTGCAGTTTGCTTTGAGTAATAAAAGGGATATTTTTTTTTGTTTCTACTTTTGGTGCAGTGGTCCTCTGGAAAGTTAGAAACAGCACCCTGGGGCTCCACGAAGTGGAGGGTGTATAATTATATGGGAAAGCTCCATAGCATCAGTGAATTAGCATTAGCAGCTGAGTGAGTTTGTTAAGTTGTAGAGATGGCATTATGGAAATCAATAAAATGCTGATTTCTTTTCCTTATTGCAGATTCCATGTTAAAAGGAAAATATGCTATTTGTTTGTCTGCCTTTCATGTAGGCTTGCCAAACCATTAGTTGATATGGAAAGGCAGGTTTTGCATCTCTGGCAATCAGTAGTCAGGTTTGTTTTGTTTTGCTTTTTTTAGGCTCTTTTAAATCTTTATTTATTAGATTGTCTTCCAGAAATCACACTGACATCCTGGCCTGGAAGTGGCTTCACATGTGTCTGTTTGTCAGCAGAGGCAAAAGGGAAGGTCACTTATTTTTCTTATGACGTGCTTGTGTGGCATTGTCTGTTGTAGCCCAAATGCTCTATGTTCCTGATGTTCCTGTTTCTGCTTTAAATTAAGTTCTCCCAAGGATTTGGAGGATACTGATGCTGAAATCCATATTCAAAATAAAAGAGAAATAGTGACCTTAACTGTTTTCAGAGGTGTGCATCAGGAGGAATGATATTAAGCACTGTAAGATGTATAATGTGCATTGGCCTTTATTTCTTTGTCTCAAAGCTTCTCCTGCTTTTATACCAGAGAGACAAGTACCCAGATCATTCATCACACTGAGCTCTTACAGAGACATGACAGACCAACAGCCTTATGTTGCATGCTGTGGAACATGTACAGTGCATTAGGTTCTGATGATCTATATAAAACATTTTAATTGGGAGGAGCTGTAAATGGGAACGGCTGTCTTCTAATCCAAGGGCTTCGCTTTTTCTTCTCTTCTTCCCAATTGAAATGAAACTTAACTTCACCATCAAATTATTCTGTTTTAATGTAGCTGTATGCTATGACTCCTGATGAAATGGGTTATTCATGCCGAGGTACAGTTTGGGGGACCCCTCTGCCTTTGTGGTGGATGCTAATTTGGTGGACTTTCTGGAGCTAAGAAGATCCAACCCTGCGGCTTCTTCAAGGATGCTGCGGCGAGCATCTGTTCTGTGACACGCGAGCAGCCTGTGTCACAGAGTTCAGATATCATGAGGCTTCTGGAGCATGTTCTTGTACGAAGAGACACAGTCCAAAATGCTGGGTGTATGATGCAGACAACACTAAAGATCAGCAACTTGGAAAATTAATATTGTGGTTCATGTTGATGTTTCAGAGGGAATTCTGATGGAGGCGTGGTCCCAGCAAAGGTGAACTCAGGGGTCCAGCAGCACAGATAAAATAGCAGCCTTACTCTTATCTCTTTGGTAACCCAAGCCTGTTTTCTGATAAACTGGCAAAATTATATTTATAGTCTCCCTATGCTTTGTTTCTGCTAATCTCTAATTAAGTAGATCCAGGGAAGGCAGCATGGTGCTTTTAGTGCTCAACTACAGCTTAGAAATGACACTCTGCTTTCTAACGATTACAAGCAGATGAAGTGACAGGAAGGGCAGAGATGTTGGAGTAATGTGATATGCAATTAAATTCCTGATTCTCTAAAATATTTACCCATAGCTGTAGAGATCCACAGTACTTCATATCTGCCACTGGCCTTGTGTGTCCAGTTAAGGACAGTTAAAAAGCACAGAAATACATTGGGAAAAAAAAAGAAAAAAGGATAGAGATCTTTGCTGAACCAGAACAAAACCTCTTTAGCTCCTACCATTTGAAATGGGGAGGAATCCCAAGAAATAACAAGGGTGAAGTCTCTCATAACTGCAAATTACTGTAGTGATTGTGACTCTGAAAAAGCAGGTTCTAGATAGAGAAGGAATTGTAGTTACTCTGTGGTTTTGTCACAACCTTGCTAATATGGTTAAAGCATTAGTTCCAAAAACAGATGCATTGAGAGCTTGGAGTCTTTTTCTTAAAAATGTACAAATCTATATTCAGGTATTTTCTGTGAGGCAAAATAAAATACTGCTTGTTGGATTACCCAATTTCAATATTGTTATTAAAAAAAAGAAATGCACCCTGTTTTCCACCTGTCAAATGAAGTCAGATATTCCTGTGGATGCCTTTTTCTCTTTTATCTTTTTTTGTTTGTTTCCTTCCTTCTAAGAACCTTTTCATCATCTGCTTTCCTACTTTCTGTCATACTGAATTCCTTTTTCATTGTTGTTTTGATTCCTTCCACTTCTTTCCGGATAATTTTTTTTTCAGTTTTTTATGTTCCTTCTAGCCTTAATCAACTACCAATGTTGCTGCTTGCCTATGGAATCACAAGGTCCATGCTGAGGTGTGTCATGCCAATAGTATTTAGTGTCCTCTGTCCTCAGCAAGGAAAAGGTTTACTACTGCTGCCCTGTAGTCCGATGGAAAACGGGAAGGGGGAGCCTGTTGGAGGTGTGACATGAATCAGTGCAGTCATCTAGGAGGAGTCAGGGCCACAGCCAGAAATTATACCCAGGTGTCATCAGCTTCCAGACACGTGCCCTGTGCTGTAGCAAAGCAGGTTGTTTCCTCTTCAATCCTTTGCAGAGCTCCCTTTTTTTACTTTCTGTCATACTGAATTCCTTTTTCATTGTTGTTTTGATTCCTTCCACTTCTTTCCGGATAATTTTTTTTTCAGTTTTTTATGTTCCTTCTAGCCTTAATCAACTACCAATGTTGCTGCTTGCCTATGGAATCACAAGGTCCATGCTGAGGTGTGTCATGCCAATAGTATTTAGTGTCCTCTGTCCTCAGCAAGGAAAAGGTTTACTACTGCTGCCCTGTAGTCCGATGGAAAACGGGAAGGGGGAGCCTGTTGGAGGTGTGACATGAATCAGTGCAGTCATCTAGGAGGAGTCAGGGCCACAGCCAGAAATTATACCCAGGTGTCATCAGCTTCCAGACACGTGCCCTGTGCTGTAGCAAAGCAGGTTTTTTCCTCTTCAATCCTTTGCAGAGCTCCCCCTTTTTTTTCAGTTTGTTTTTCTGCTTCTCTTTATTTGGCTCTTTTCTAGTTTTGTCTTTTCTTCTCTGTAATATGTAATAGCTACTAATGACCTCTCAAACTGCTTCACAGGAGTGTTAAGGCTAGTGTGTTGTCCCTCATCCTGTCTGGAATATTTGGCTGTTGCCAAAGAAATTGAGATCAGAATCAGGGTCTCTTTGAGTACCGTGCACCAAAAGTGTATGCATGTGTCTTGAAGGTACCAAAATACTGTTAAAAAAAATCAAACAAGATCTGTAAAGTTAAAAAATCTAATACTTGTTTTGAGATGCAGAGTGTGAACTAAGGTATAAAATGATATAATGAATAAAGGCAAAGATGCAGCCTTTTTCAGAGAACCTTTAAACTATTAAAACTTTTTAAAGGAGCACATCAGTTCTTTGCTGAACCTA